ATAGAGACGTTATTTCGCAACGAGCAAAAATTCCTGTTTGTTGCGTACAGATCTTTCACGTGTACGACCGTTCCTTCGTTGTTGATACACCGCAAACACGCACTAAATTGTTATTTCCTCACGTCATACATACTTTAATTTATTACATAGTTATAATGAGAATGAGAATCCGCAACAAACACATTTTTCAGTCCGTTTTCGTCCCCAGGCATAGCTTGAATTTATCGAAATTGTTTTCCCATTGTATCACAAAATCACACACGTATGTTATATTAGTTCCCGTTTTTTTTTTTTTTTTTTTTTCAAAATATTTCCGACCGTTCAAATCAATATTACGCCATGTATACTTAACATATTGTTTTTCAGTGAATCGTCATTCGTCCATCGACCAAAAATTACTCGTATGCGCAAACAAAAGAACAAACATTATAATCACTAAAACTACATCAGTGTTAAAAAAATCTTCTGGTTTTCTTTACCAACCAAAAAATTCTACACACTATTTTCACAACGTGCAAGATTTTACATGTCTTGTTGGTGCGACGCCGATGTAATTTTTGGTACTTAAAATGCATTTTATAAGGGTTATCATAATTATGATAATTATGAAAAAATATATATATTTTTTTTTTTTTTTTTTGGTGTAGGTGAGAAATCTCTTTGACGTGCAAATCGTTTATGTGAAGCTGTAAAATATGATTCCCCTTCTCGTAATTCAAATATCATCAATTTACTTAATGTATAACATGTAAATACAGATTGTAAATAAAAACATATTTGTTAAAAAAAAAAAAAAAAAAAATGAAAAAAAATTATTCAAATATGTCAATATATTCGTTTATTTCGTCAGATAAGTAATAAGTTTTATATGGCTTATCGTTTTAGTTTTTGTATGAAACTAATTTCTATGGTTAATAGAAAAAATAAACATTATGCGATGTTGTGTTATTGTAAAATATGAATGTACATAAAAACTAGAACAGTTACTAAATATTTTTATATTACAAAATAAACAGTTGGCCATGGCTCGTGTTACTGTTATCGAAAACTGTTTAATTTAATGTTATTAGTCCTAAATAGCAGACTTCAGTTGACTTTTTCTGTTCTAGACCCGCGATCCGCCGCGTGCGCATGATTTGTCGCGACGAACGTCAAGTTACAAAACTGACATGGTAAAGATGATATTGTTTCCTGCGTGACACGCTCGAGCCTAACAATATAAATACACTTTCACAATGCAATAACAATAAATATGCATATGACGTGGTGTATATTATAATATTATTGTTATAATTCGATAGCGGATATAGAAATCGTCTCGTTCAATAAAATATTCAGACCTACTTTGAATTGAACACGTTATACCGCCATAGATAAGCGTTTGTTTTTTCATTATGCACGTTCATGTGATTTGGTATTGTATCTCATACAATGTATATAATGTACATCACATTATGTTCTCTTCGTTCACTTGTTGTTATTTTTTTTTTCCTAAATTATTTTGCTTTTAGACTCCACACAACGAAACGAAAATTCGTCGATTTTCAGAACAATATTACGATTTATATTGGTATGTGTTTCCTTTGGATCCGACATGTTCATAGCTATACTTTTTCTCGTCTTCTGGTACTTAAAATAAACAATTCAAAATGGAGTGCATTAAAATACGAACCTAACCTGTTGACATTTGTGCATGGACAATGGTACAGTATCGTACTTTTTTCGATTTTTATTAAATATTGTTAAAGAAGTGGCATTTAAAAATAATATTACTCACGTGCAAAAGTAATTATTTATAATTTCTGCTGTAACCTAAAATCAAAAAAGAATATTTTCTAAACAAAACGAAAACGGGCTTGTTCGTGATTGAATAAATATTTAAGTTTTGGGTAAAAAATGTATGAAAATGTATTTTAAAAAGATATCTTATCGGCAAATAGCACTAGAATTCTGGAAAATAAAAACGAATCTCGTTTTTGTAGAGAGACATTTTTAAGTGCAAAATCTAATAATATTAGATTTTAGAAAATAATTTAATATTATGTTATATTGTTCAAAATTGGTTTTAAGGAAATCCAGTACGATAATTCGTATGCAATTATGTACGTTGAATTGCATTCTCCGATCCAAAAATGAATAAAAAATTAAAAAATGTTCACACACTAGGTATTTAAGTTTAGTATTTAAGAATGGCAAAGGGGGCATTCGCCCCCTATGCCTCATTTATTTTTTGAATATAATACATTGATTTATTTGAAAAATGTAATGTATAAATAATTAAGAATAAAAATTACTAGTCTATCATTATAATATGATAATAAATTCAATAATATGTCAATTTGAACACGGGCATCAATTTTTTTTCTTCAAATATCATAACATTTTTGGTTGTAAAACGAAGAGTGGTATTATCTTCTATAGATATTACTACAGTTATAGACGTTTACAACCATAACCGAGGTATTTATCAGATAATATAAAGTAATTTAAAGTAACATTTTTTTTACCACATATTTACTAATTAATCAAATTTTAGTGCATTTATGCATGTTGTATATTTTAATATTTATTAGAGCTATATAAGTCCATAGTAATTATACTCGCTTATTTTTTTTTTTTTTACAGTATAATATCTGGCACTTATTGTTGTGCATAGGAATTAAGTCATTTTTTTGTACACAAATGCATGCGTATTTGTGTATTTTATAGAGCTAGAAGTCCGTAACCCAAATAATAATCATAATAACTGACAATATTTGTTTCCATAATCTTTAACTTGCAAATATTGGCCAAAAATATATTTTTGTAAATTGAAAACATGTTTAAGATCAAGAATAGGCCAGCATAGACTAACAGGTTTGGCTTTGCTGCATGTGCATAAAAATATTATTGTATCCATTGATGAAACAATTAACAAATTTTCCAAAATAAAAAAAAGAAATTTGGAATTTGTTATTTGACTAATTACCAACCTTATGTTTTCTACTTAGATATTTATTAAATTAAGTTGCCTATCTTAATTGTCTTTTAAAGTTTTTAATATATAATAATATAATAATTAATAGGTACTATTACTAATATCATTATTTATTGTTTTTTTATACAGGATTCAAACTGAAGGTACAATTTTAATATAAGAACTATTTGGGTTGTTATTATTAATACTTATTTTATATGCAGTAAGTTTTAAATATATTTATTAAATAAGTATCAAATTAAATTTGGTACTTGTATTTTTATTTATTCCCTCGAATGAGCAACAGGAACATGAGCTGTAGGTAATGAACCAGGGGCGTACCCAGGAATTTTTTTAAGGGGGTCCAACATTTTTATTTTATCTGTTCTCTAATTATAATTATGGTTTAATTCAACACCAACAAATTACTGTTAATAACTATAGTAATAGTCGCAATAGTTATACACACATCACACATATTCTGTACAAAGGTTTTCTGTAATAGGTAGTTACTATAATTTGAAATCAATTTTTATTAGGTAGTAAAATATTATAATAAATACATTATTTAATGAACAATAAAAAATAATATTAAAAAAGCAGTTTAAATTAAACATGTTTTATACATCATAGGTTTATTATATAATCTATAAACCTTGTATATTAAAAATAATGGAAAATTAAAATACACTATATATTATTTACTATTAAACCATTAAGTATGTAGATATTTCAAGGGGGTCCCGAAACCCCCCCTTGGGTACGCCCCTGTAATGAACTGTAAATTATTTTTAAGTTTTTATTGAAGAAAAATTAGTTTCACCTCCCCCCCTCCCCTCATGACCACAATTCAAATACGCCCTTGGCATATTTACATTTTTTCCCCGTTAAAAAAACCATTGAGTATCCGATACATTTTAAAATTACATAAAATCGTATTGTATAACGTAATTATAAATAAATACTTTGTGTATTCACGATCAAAATTTACAGTTATATCATAGACAACTGCACTAGAGTTTTTAGTCAGTCAAACAATAATGTCATGGTAAATCTCTTTTGGCACAAACCAGTGTTTATTTAAGGAAGGGAACTTGGATTTTGATTAAAACTATTACTTTTTTTTCAAGCTTATATATATACAACTTACATACAATGTTCAGAATTGTATAAAATCAAATATTGTACAAAATTAAATGATACAATTCGCGGTGTGTACAATATTCGTTGTGCAAATCTTAGTTTATAAAAGATAATATCTAAGAATATTTTATTATTATAAAACTGTATATTATATATCATATTATTAAAATAAAATAATATAAACTCATATAGTATACTATATACTATAGTTTATCATGTTATTAAAATAAAATAAAATCGAAAAATTTTTTTATGATTCCCATGTTATTAGCAATTGATGTGTAGGCACTGGTATAACCATGTGCGTAGGCAAAGATTATTTATGGGTTGGGGGTTTGATATATTTAGATTATAACTATTTTTATTATTATCAATCTATTTACTAGCTGGAATTTTGGAAATAGGGGGTTTGAACCTCCAAAACCCCTTTTACCTATACCACTAGGTATAACCCAATAAAAATTATTACGATTATCTGAACAATTTTACAATTATTGTAGATACTGAGACTGACATACTGTTACGACATGTGGGTACTGATTCATATTTAATTACCAGGACTATTTATCAAAATATTTCAACATTGCGTGCTCTTAAAACAAAAACTACAATTGAAGTAGGTAACATATCGTTTAATTGATATATTTTGTACTTTTGGAGCACCTTCAATTCTGTAGTCGGTCGCGCAAGGGCCGTAAATTCGTTAATTGTATAATTGATGAATTATAAAATATATGGCTGTAACTTAAAATTGTACATAGTTGTACCATGGTAAATTCTCAGAGCCAAGGAAGTATTGAAAAACCAAATAAAGATGTACAAGACAGTTTTAGGCTGATAACAAATCCAAAAAATGAAGTGAAGGTCTTCGATTTTACCAGTTTCAAAAAAATAGTAACTATCACTCTGGTATTAAACAATCTCCATTTGAGGCATTGTTTGGCTGAAAAGCACAAATTCGACTCACTTCTAGTATCCTACCAGGGAATATACTTAAAACATTAAAGTCTGAAAATGAACTACTACAAGCAATTTATTCAGTTCATTAATTAATGAAAGTTAATATATTAATGAATTTAATATTTCATATAATTAATGATAGGCAGAAAATATAAGTGAAGATATTATTTTAGAACGGGCCTCAACTTCAAGAAAAAATACGATTGTGCAGGGTAAAATTAAAAACTAATCAAAACTTATCTATGAATTAATTAATTCGAATGAAAACAGTATTTTAAAATATCCAGTCATTTCAATTGTTACATATATAACGTTACCTATACCAGATGTAGATAGAAGTAAAGAAGATTCCAGAAATATCATAGGTAATACATTATTTTATTAGATCATATAATGAAAGTAACGTCAGAGATTTGTATAAAACCGGTAAGAAAAATGAGGTTATTGTACAATTATTCAGCCGTAATAAATTTTCAGCTTGTGATGGGGAAAATATACTAAGCACAAAATATATACCGGCTGATAAAATTAATCTAAGAGCTGCAAATACGAAAAAATCAATGTTTAAAGGCATTTTGAAATTTTTTTGTACACGGAAGTGCCATAATAATAAATTTATATGTAAAAAGGAAACTCTATAATGCAACTCTCGCTGTCATAACTCACTTGAGTGTAAAAACAAATAATTGTATATTTATTTTATTATATTATATTTTTTATTTTTTTCATTATAGGTACTTACTTAATATAATATTATAAAATGTATTCGTTAAACTAGATAAATACACTATTTTTATATTGGTAAGTACAATATTATTCCACAACGTACCTCTCGTTCCATAACCTATTTCCATGTTATTTGATTTTGTTTTATTTTAGATATTATTTTTTATAAACTGTATGACTGTGGTTAAAATTTGATTTGTATAATATATTTTTTTAAATTTTTTGATCTATACAACTCATGTTGTACATATCGCAAATTGTATAATTGTATATTGCACAAACCATTTACTTTGTACGACATCATTGTACATTTCGCGATGTATACAAAAATACTTATGCATATTGTGATACAATTTCAAACTTTGTATATAACATATATATATATATATATATATTTCTAATAATTGGTGAAACTAGGTAGAATAAGATACGAGTACATATAGACAAATTAATGATATTGCTTTATTGGTTTTTTTAAACTTAAAATCAATGTTACCGTTGCTCTTGAAAGATTCTGATTGAAAAAAGTTATCTGGATAAATATATATTTTTAAAAGTGGTCAATATAGTGGCAGAACCAATTTTTTTAGTAAGGTGGGTACGTTGAACTCTTTCAAGAGTTTTATCTATTGCTCAAAAAAAAAAAAAAAAATTAAAAAATTGGCATATACCATAGATAGGTAAGATAATGACATACAATTTTTTATTAAGTTGGGGAACAGAACTTGATGAAAAAGGAGAAGTCTCTTTGTTATTAAACTATAATCGATTAAAATTTGGAAAAAAATAAAAATTTCTTTGAACAGCACAAAATATTTCGAAATGTCTTTAAAATGCTAATATGAGTACTTAATAAATCTTTCATATAGTTATGAATCATAACTATAAATTCTCGTATTTATCATAAGTTATGATAAATACGATAATTTATAGAATAAAAAAAAAAATACAGTTTTATGGAAATATGTTGAAATATTAGATTTAGTCGAAATTTTATCTTGAAAACCTGAATTTTCCAAACCACAAATTTGACCTTTAACCCTCCCCCCCTGTATGCGCCACTGAAATTAGTAAATTTATGGTGTTTTATTATTATATTTTAATATTACATTTTGTGTACAAGTATATATAATTTATATTAATTTGACACTACCGAGGGTCTGGGAGATGATTGATCGTTCGCCTCCTTGGCCAATTCACCTCTGTTATTGAAGATCTTTGTATTAGATATCAGGACATTTTATTGATATTTTCGAAAAATGCTCAGAGAACATGAACATTTAAATTTTCTATTTAAAAATCTAAAATAGCTCAAAAATCTATTAAAAATTACCGTCTATATCAAACCGATTTTATGAGTATTCTTTAAACTATCAATTCTTTTCAATTATATATTTTTCGATTTAATACGAAAACAAAAATTATACATTGTAGAAAATTGTTAAAATGCTGTACATTTTGTTGTTATTTGGTAATTTTTCATTAGTTTACGGAAATTATTAAGTAAACTATTTGAAAAATCTTAAAATAATTCCTTGAAAGTATCAACTAAATAATATTTCTTTATCAAGCTCTTTCACAAGCTTTTCATTATTACGGTTGTTAAAATAATCCTTCTGGTCGAAATTGTATATACGAACACAATAAAAAACACACATTATAATAAAACCGTTTTTATTTTTATTCAACAATTAAACATTTTATTTAAAAAATTATTTGATAAAAGAAAAATGTTATTTTTCTTTTAGATCAGAATCAATTTACTAATTTTATATAACGTACAATGAGAACAGTATTTATTGCAAATAAATGACAGTAATGACATTGTTAAATATTTTTTTAATGAATACAACCACTTCTACTGGATAATCAATATTAGGATATGCTGGTCATAGATGATATATACGTTGTACCGTTGGATACCTCCTTATACGCTCACATCGATTTCTTTTTTTCTCGGTAGGTGGTCTTAAAAGAAGCCCTTTAATTATTTAAAAAACATAAGCATTGTACAGAGTGTAAAATAAATATATAAAAAAATAATAAATGATAAGTAAATTAGTCCAAAAACGCTTATTAGATGGTCTATATATGTAATAAGATATCAGACACAAAAAAAAATGAAATATTATCAAAAAGTGCATACTTTCTCTTTGTAAAGACTGTCTTTGATCGTTAACTTCACCACCTATCAAATCGCAAATGTTGGTAATATAATTGTCCAAAGTCAAACAGTTAGAATAATATGTAATATGAGTTCTGCAAATAGGACACGCTGGATTACTACTCTTCCATGTCTCAATGCAAATTTCACAAAAAGTATGATTGCAATTTAGAACCATAGCCTGAAAAAATAAAATAAGTTATTATATCAAGTAAATAATAAAAATTAAAAATTGTTTACCTTGTACATTAATTCATTGCAAATAGTACATTGTAATTCAGTTTCTAACTGAGAATAGATTTGTTTTTTGAACGAATTAGGTGAATTCACATCATTTAATGCTTCTAAAATTTTTATTGAAATAAATTAATCAAGAACATTTCAATCAGAAATATAGGACATAAGAAATGTATAAAACAACATACCCTTTAATTTCACCATTAATGTAGAAATTTCGTTTGTCATTTTTTGAATCGCATCGTTTTGCTTAAAGATAATGGTATATAAATTAAAATACAAATATAATCATGAAATTGTTTTCATAATATATGATGAAATATAAGAAAAATACGATTGAATGAACATTGATTTTTACTTACTTTTTCATTTTCTATACTTGTAATCTCCACAATATTGCTCATCATATTTTGTATTTCATCTAATTTAGTTTTCGCATTATTGCGTAATACTATATGGTCAGCTTTTATCTATAATCGAACAACAATAATAATGATTATTAAAACACTGTGATATTTTAAATATTATCAGAAATTTCTAACAAAATGACAACTAATAAAGTTAAACTTACATTCAATATTTCCTTTTGAATGGTTTTTATGTTCATTTTACACGTTTCGTCTTCAGTATGATCTTCTAAATCATGTTCATTGTATAATCTAATTGTTGAACAGATATATTTATTAAGTCAATAGAAATAATAAATATACTTTAAATTATTAAAATAATAAAAGTAGCAATAATTTGAATTCTTGTTTTAGTGTTCTTTTACCAGAATAATGATAATCTTTATTATTAAATGGTTCGAATAGACACACATATGTAGTAAATAGAAGAGTTATATTATTATACTTATTTAAAAAAATATTTCCGACATAAAATAAAAATATTAGCGCTAAATACAAAAAAAAAATTAATATTGTGTTAAGAATAGTTTTAATTTTCTAATTTTCAGTTATTTAAACATAAATGTTCCTTTTAAATATTTTTAATTTAATTACATTACTATTTTAAATCAATTTTATTTACCTTGGTTTTTTGTTAGAGATATTGGGTAAGATAAATTTGTAAGTTATAGTAATATTTCTTTCATCACCGAAGCCAATAAGATCTCCATGATGTAATTGTTTGATATTAGTCTTACTACTTGAAAGTCTTTTGCAATTCAAGAAAGTACCTGAGCGTGACTGCTATTTTTTGATTTATATAAAAAAAAAAAATAATTGTAAGGATTAAATTCAAAAACATAAATTTCATAGTTCTTATTCGATATAGGTTTTTAATTTATATAAAACTAATTATTTTATTGAAAACATTTTTCAATAATATAAAAATTCAAAATTATGAAGTTAATGAAATTAAATTAAAATTAAAATTAATTAATACAATATATTATTAAATGTTTAAACAATTTATTAAAAATAATTTTATATTTTTCATTATATTATATAAGTCATATATCCTAGGCAAACTCGAAAATAATATCAGGATCATAAGACTTCTCTAAATAAAAATAGATAATCCACTTACTAAATCAGATATGAAATAATGGTTATTTTCATATCTGATAGAACAGTGACGACGAGATATGAATGACTCTTCGATGATGATCGAAGAGGTAAGATCACGTCCAATGATAAACTGTAGACATAAATATTAATGTCAGTTATTAGTCTTATAGGTATATAATTAAAAGATTATATATTAGACAATATCAACTTATAGCCACCATCCAGTCAATCACACAGAGGACCAGGCGCTAAGGAAAAGAGCACTAAAAGAGCACTAAGAGCACTGAAATTTCAATTGTGACACAGCCACACGACCAATAAAATAGTACCAATATTAGTTAAACGTACTTCTGAATCCTGATTAATCGGAACCATCCGACCATTCTCTATATCCATTAAGGATGCTCCCACCGAACAATCTTCGTTGATGGGTCGTTTACTTCTAAGCTTGGAAGACTGCACTTCATTCTTTATATCTTTTAACATAATGCTTGATGAGCAATGCGCAACATAAAGATAAACAGTATTTTTCTAACCGTATACGGTCATTTTCGAGCGATCGGTCATTAAAGGCGGGACGAAAAATGCCATTTGAATACGAAAAACGTTTATGCGAATTACCGTTACGCTCGATAGCGATACGATCGCGTAGTAATGTGTTTAACAAGAAGTTACATATTGTTAAATCCGCGATTTAAGTTGCATATTAGTGATGGGTCGAACCCTGATTTTTTAAATCGAATCGAACTTGAACCGAACTTTAAATTATTTTTTCGAACTCGAACTGAACCGAACCTATTATAATTTTAAGTCGAACTCGAATTCGAACTCAATATTTTTTATCATGTACATTGTACCATAAACTTTATAACGTTGCTTGGGATATCTATGTATATTTAATCAATGATTGTTCCTACCTACAAATTAAATCAACCATATTTATTAATTACTATTGTATTTTAAGTTTTCGTATTACCTATTCTACATTTTAACTTTTAAGTCTAAGTAATTGTATTGTTTACAATACATTTAAATTTTAAATAATTTCTTCTTATTATTTTTCAAAACTAATATTGTGCTCTCCAGGCCCTATTTTATATGCAACCCGACATACAATGTACACCACGAATGTACAAGTGTGCACTATGGTCTACAAAACAAAAATTAAATAATAAGCCAACTACTAGGAAATATGAGTATTATTGATTTTTTTTAAATTTAATTCATATATATATATATATATATTATGTATGTAATATATTCCTTTTTCTAAGACAGTAGCGAGACTAAATTTTAATTTAAAGCAGTAAAATCAAGTGTGCAGTCCGAAATTTTATAAATAATAGAGCCTGGTGCTCTCTGGTGTTGTCTTGTAGCTTATAAAATATTATTTGAGTATTGAGTATTGAGTATAATATGACAGTACAATCAATACATTTTAATAATATATAAAAAAAAATAGTAATAATAACTATAATTCACAAATATAGAATGATTAGTAGAATTTATAATGTAAGACGTAAGTTGTAAACATGATTTTATTAACAGCGCAGTCGCGTATTGGAAATTACCATGGATTTACCCAAAATAAATTTTAACCTCTACAATAAATATGATAAAAACAAAAATATCTATATTATGAATGTAGATACTAGAGATCAGCACGGGCCGGGCTAGCCCGACCCAGCCCGACCTACACCGAGCTTGGTCCGGACCGGGCCATAATTTAAATATTACGGATTTGTTATAGGTGGGATCGTAATGTTATTCATTGGGCCGGGTCGGTTAAAATTAAAACTAATTAATTTAATTTATAGCATTATATATTTTATATCTATAAATAATTTTATATTTTAATTTTAATAAAATTTAGCATTTTTTTTTTTTTTTTTTTGTAATACATTTATTGTCTTTATAAAATGATTTTGTCTGCTAAGTCAATACTGAAAGGAAGTATACAGTTGATGTGTGTTTTTATTTACAAACGGGCATAGTCGGGTTGGACTTTGAAAAAAAATTATAAACGGGCCTGGTCGGACTAGACTTAAAAAAATTAAATATGGACCGGACATGGACGACGACAATTTATAAGTTTTGGGCAGGATCGGGCCGAAAAAAAACAGCTCGTGCTAGTCTCTAGTAGATACACTGCCTCTATTGGTAATAAACAACTTATTAATATTTTGGTCAGTGGAGGGTAGATGTGTAGCAGGCGACTGGAAAAATAACATTATTATTATAAATAATGCATAACGTGCCCGTTACTGATTATCAATTTCTATTGCCAATAGTCTAATTATTTCTAAATAATCATTATCAATTTTTATTTTTCAAAAATAACTTTTGAAGAATTGTACAAATATTTGGTTTTCGAATTATCGTGGCCAGTAAATCTGGTTTGACAAATATTTTCAAGTTCGATTTTGAATGAACATCAAGGGCTCGGTTCGGTTCAGTTCGAAATTCAAACAGTTCGACCCACCACTATATATATATATTATATTTTAAAATATATATTTTTCGAGTTGCTACGAAAACAAAAATTCGATTTTGTAGAAAATTGTTGAAATGCATTAAATTTTGTTACTTGGTAATTTTTGTTAGTTTACCACAATTATTAAGTAAACTATTTGAAAAATCTTAAAATAATTCCTTGAAAGTATTAACTAGATAATATTTCTTTGTCAAGCTCTTTCACAAGCTTTTCGTTAGTATGATTATTGAAACAATCCTTCTGGTCGAAATTGTATATACGAACACAATAAAAAAAAACACATTATAATAAAACCATTTTATTCGGATTCTTAAACATTTTATTTGAAATATAATTTTAAAATAAGAAAAATATTATTTTTCTTTTAGATCAAAATCAATTTATTAATTTTATATAACGTACAATGAGAACAGTATTTATTGCAAAGAAATGACAATAATGACATTGTTAAACATTTTTTTAGTATAAATAATTTATATGTTATCTACTATCAAATCATTTTGAGTACTTACCAACCAGTCGCCGAAGCAGTTCTCGCCTTGATGAATTCATGATTTTATAAATTATCTAGATAGATAGATTTTTTTATGTAGATATAAATGTAGATTAATATATCAAAAATTATATATAACAAAACCGTGAAAAACTAATAAGAAGTTAATATCTGTTTTGGACGGACATAATATTCTTACCAATTCAATAGACTGACACTGATATATAACGCTGATGTTATAATCAATAACTGAAATATATTTGTAATATTTATATTACACTGTTGTCATCTCCTAGTTACGTAGTTCCTAAATTTATTTTTATCGTTGTTTTAGCCGTAAAACTTGTTACGTACGTTTTTAATAATGCAAAATTATATATCTTATATTATGCACAGAATTTAATTTTCATGTGTATGTAGGGATATAGTCCGTATGTACGTAAAGGTTTTAATGAGCTCGAAGGAAGTTTCCTTAAGTGTTTCCCCTCTGAATCCACATTTGAACGCAACATAATATACTTAAAAACAAAAGTGTAGTTTAGTGTCCTCAGTGGAGAGTTTCTTGTACTTATTATATAGATAGAATACATAGTGTAAATAAATATATATATATTTATGTATATTGATGATTATATAAATAAATACTATAGTATTTATTTAAAACAAATTCCTTGATTTTTGGTAATGATTTTATATAAAAAACTGACTATGTTATAATAGTTTTATATTAGATGATAACATTTAATCGTTTAATCCGTCTTGAATCTATGATAAAAATTGATTTGTTATGTTATTCGTATCAAAGCTTGATTAGAATTTAATTTCTATACTGTTCGCAGTTTGTTCTCGGAAAGTTTTTATTTTTATTTTTTTCTATTATTCTACTTCACTTGTGTATTTATTGAAATTATTATGAGCTCAGCTATTAAGACAATATTATATTAAAGTGTATAAGTTTAGTAATCATTGATAAAACCGATTGAAAGATACCCATTAGAAGGTCAATTTTATTTACAACTGCAATAATGATTTTAGTATTTTAAATAAATAGTTTCATTATTATTTTACATATATTTTTGAGGTATTTAATTTCCCTAAACCCTATTTAAGTTCATTATTTGTGTTGGTAAATAATTCGAAGGGAATACCACATCTACTCAGTACTCATTCATAGTACAAAAGTAAATTTAATAATAAAATAATAATAAATAATAATAATATTAATAATTAAGTATATTTAATACTTAATTGTATTAAGTCGACAAATTTATTCGGTAAGCCTTAAACCTCATCCGCATATTTATTGTACAAGTTGCACGTACCTAATTACATATAATAAATATGTATGTATACATTTATTTAATTTAGATCTATAGTTTTGGAGTATGGAAGCCGCCTATTCGTGATTTAAATTCTGTATGACTTAGCTAACTTATTCATGTTAATAATTAGCTCTACAAGTAGATATACATGTATATGTATTTAAGTATGTATACTCGTAATATTACTTTTATGATGAAGATAAAAGACTACGACGGGAAGTATAACACGTACCGAGTAATAGGCATTATTAAGATCACATAAGAGACACAGGGTTTCACTTTAAATTCATGTGATTAAGATCTTAAATGTCAATGTTGTGGTTAATACACAGTATACTTTAAAATAACACTAATAAGCAGGGCTCGGAAGTTCTAGCAAATGCATATTTTTCTTGGTTCATCCTAGAACATCCAAAGAAAGAAACAAATATGTTTCTCATTGCTCGGATATCATACACAAAATTTAATTTTGCTATTTTTTGCATATTTACGGGTTTTATTGCTATTTTGCTAATTTAGGGTTTATATTGCTATTTTCGTGTATATTTTCACATAATGTAGGAAATAATCAAATTTTGTTGATCATAATTGTATTTACTTGGTTATGTTTTTAAAAATATTTTAATTATTGGAAATAAATAACTTCATCAAATATTATTTTATGTTTTCATTGATAATTTGTTGTATCAATAATTAGTGACGTCATTGTTATTCCCTTATTATATCATTGCATTAGATTATCAAACATTTTAATAATCTAGGATAATTATCAAGATAAATGTATAAAGTAATTTAATAATAAGTACATTTTTACAAATATATTTATGTAATTTAACATTTTTGTTAACATTTTATTATTCAATCAGTCCAGACTGTGTCTAATTAGCCTAAAAATTTGTAAAATTACATTTTTTTCAATTTTTCGTGCTATTTATAGCGCATATTTTAGAGTTTTTAAGTGCATATTTAAGAACTAAAAAGTAACCAATCGGAGGTCGTTATCATTACACGTGTAATGATTGGTTTTGCTCATAATTTTTTTTCATAACGAACAAAAAATTTTCGGCCTCAAGTTAATGAAATGAAGTGTGGTCACCAACTTTGCAGTTGATGACGATTTTTACTTTTGAATCGTATACACTAAATATATTAGTATACTATCCAGTTAAAAAATACA